AATAAATTGTCATTGTCATCATTCTTACAAACAGGTGAACGTATGTTGTATGACTGGTCATTAACTAGTATCAATACACCATTAGCTCTCCAGATTGAATTTAATGATGATTCAGAAGCTAGAGCATGTGAAGTGCTACCTTCTATAATAAAATCCGTTCCAGACATTCTGACGCGTGCTGGCAAGGGAAACTTTTTTATGAAGATATTAACGTGAAAAATCCAGGCGCGGTCACTACACGTTTTTCGAGTTTCCTTAGTTGTCACGCGGCAGAAACGTCACATATATGTTTTCGTGAACTGTTCACGTCTGGTCACAGGCGAATAATTTTTTCATGCGTGGTCACATATCTTTTCACTTGTGACGACGTGCGAAAAATGTGATGGAAAAAATTTAGGGCACAGTTCACGACTGATCACAAGCGGATTATTTTTTCACGCATGCCAACACACCATTTACGATGTCCACTTACAAATGTTGTCTTTTTCAGATCGCGTAAAGGCCATTTTAAGATCGTGTAAGGATACTTTTTAAGTGCGTATAAGCAGGGGGAGGGAGGATCCAAAATAACTAGTATTCGCCTGGTTTTTGAGTATAAACTGAAACTCCCTCTACTTTGTAAGATGGGAGGAGTTTCACAAATAATTTACATCTAGGCACGTCGAAGCGCATCTAGCATTATGGCACCAATTATCCGTTCGAAATCAAAGCAAATATAGATAATGTCAACGATCCAAGCGATATTTCCGGACTGTAAACAACGCGGAAAACAGAAAAAACAAGATGTATCTGTATTGTTATCATTGTCGTTAGATGATAATTAGGTGGTAGGGCTGTGTGTGATATGCGCATATCAAAATGCTTATGCCATAAAAGCAGTCTGAACTTTTCATTTTTTGGAATGACAAAGTCATAGCAAAAACAACTTAGCTAGAAAGTCTTTTGGAACTCTCGCCCAGCCGACTCCATGCCGTCATTTTGAGAAGTTTTTAAGGTGATTTTTGTGACCATCGTGACGAGTTCTACTAGTTCTGAAACTGCCATACAATTGGCAGAAAGTCGATGTAAAAGTGATACACTCTCCAAACAGTGGCTCTGCGATAGAAATCCCTTTTGTTACTATTTAACTACATAAAACATTTTTCAATGATAGATACGTGTGGAACTGTACGTTTAGAACAGAAAATACACGGTATCACAAACTTAGCGTTTAATCATTGTTCGCGATACTGGGTGAGGGGTTCATATAATACAATAATTACACCAAATATTAACCAAAACGCTCTTTCGAATAGTAATATAAAAGATTGAAAAAGAAATTTCACTGCAAGTTTGAATTATTTGCATCTTATATATTCTTTTTCCTTCCTTTTGGTTATCGTGAGTAATTACTTTATTCTTTTCATTTCGAAAAGATAGTAGCATCTGCCAAATGAACATCGAGTACAGTCTCCGTTTTGTTAGAGTACTTCTTAACAAATTGCTTCTAAACCGATAAATTATCATAGTTTCAAATAGAAAAAGATAAAGGACTGGTGGCGGTAAGTCTATTTTTCTATGCGTGGTTTTCCGCCCATTATGCACCATACCATGTGCTAAAAATTTGAATGCAAAAATATGTTTTTTTATCCAACTATTTTTAGCTAACATACTCCCCGTTGCCTTTCTGTTTCCGCTTGGTTAAACCTCATTTTCTTCGACGCTCACATAAATTTGTATTCATAACAATCATTTCTTTAATCATTACAATAACTAGCCTATCTAACCCCGAACCCGAAACCCAAAAACATAAGATTATGTACTTTCTGTCAAATTTGGATATTGCAAGTAGTAATAATAGTTATTTGCTTTATCGTAATAAGAGTATATTTTCTAGCAAATGGTCACCGTTTACTGATCGTTTGCTGAACGTTTTCAAATCATTTATTATTCACAAAGAAATTCGCCATCAACTGGCCATTAACAGGCAGTTATCGGACCGTTTTCAGGCCGTTTTTCAGTACTTTAAGGTAGAGTAATTTTAAAATGATTTTTGAATGTTTCATGACACATAGAGTACTTCGGGGTAATTAGAGATATTCTTTGAAATTTTCGTTGTGTTTTTGCTATTTGTTGGCCGTTTTTGATCGGACAAACTTGCTATTGAACAGAGTGGTAGACCAAACATTTTTTCACATACATTCATATACACGCTCACGTAAAAATCGTTTGAAAATCTTCGACCAGTTTTGAGCTATATCTCTGTCAAAGTGTGTGACACTTGAGAGATCTGGCTCAAAACTGGTCGGAGATTTTCAAACGATTTTGACATGAGCGTGTATGTGAATGTGTGTGAAGAAATGTTCGGTCTACCACCCTGTTTATACCTCTCTATCGGTTTAACTATCATACAAACGAAAAACTGATGATCGGATATTTTACAGCTCATTCATCGTCCTCAAGATCGTGACGTATGAATCAATCATGTCATTTTTTGATAGTCTGGTCAAAAAAAGAATGTTTTTGTTAGAGCCCAAATTCTAGATTGGAAAGGTTCGTCTGACCTGATCAATCTTGTTATTTCTGTTTTTATACACCAAAGGGATTTACTCTGCTAAATAAATTTGTATGTGTGTTTTGCTTTTAGATAGCTGTTTATGCATTATCGTTCGACCCAGAGGTTCGGGTAAAATTTATTGTATTATTTTTAATCACATCAAGTGGGATAAAGAAACAACAGTATTTTGATTCAAGCCCGATGTAATTGCTGTATTGAAATTGTAAATACATTTTCTTACATTTCCCATCTTTGTTCGATGTCTAGTAAAAATATTCTAAAGAGACATAATAAAGAACGACAAGAACACACTGACGATATAATTTCGTACATTGTTTTGTGCATCAGAATATTAAACAGAATAAGCCAATAAAAGTCTATTCACATATAGTGTGATATTCCCACGCAAAAGAAATAGATTCCCGATTGTGAGTCGAAAACATCTATGAAAAATTAAATCTGAACTGAGTTTAAAAAACGGATCGTTTAAACGTGAAAAATGTTTCAGTATAGTAAAAGATATCGTGTAAACGTCTAGAACCAGCAGGTGTGAAAACGACCAAAGTTTTGCAAGAAATACAGACCGAAAATTCCAGTCAGCGTGAAAAGTGAGCGTTTTCACGTCGCATTCTTTTTTTCGTTACTGACTCACAATCGGGAACCTGGATTGACATCCGAACACGTCCGAAAAATTTTACGCGTTTGCACGCGTTTTTTTATTTTTTGGTCTGCTTGGGCAGTTCAGTTCTTGTTAAACGGGAACTGGTACCAGTTCGCGTTCAAAAGAACTGAACTGGAACTGCCCCACCCCTAGTAGAAACCCAATATTCGTGAGAGGAAGTGAGGGACCAAATTGCTTGGAGACTAAAGTGCCTGGATCCGCTATTCTGATCGAATTCTGCCACTACCCTGAGGCGTTGTTTATAAATGTTTTTTTCAAAAGATCCATCTATTTTATACGGATATGTCTTCTTTTATTCAAATGTAAGATTATTCTTTTCTATGAAGTGCTAATTGAGACAGATGGAAAAGTGACAGCACTCAGAGATTTGGAATCCTCAAGCGAGTAACGGACAGTGGATAGTTTGAATTTGGTGCGCCTTAAATAAATGAGAGTACAATAGTTTTTTACTAATATTCAGTATTTTGTTAAAGTTAATTTAACTTTCTTTGGACGACCTTTCCCCTTCTTATCCTAAGTGGCTGTGGAACTGGATGAACATTTTCTACAACGTACTTTTCTATTTTCTATTGTCAAGTCTTCGCTTTAATTTGTATAAATTTGAAAAGCTGCGTCAGTAATTCACCCAAGTTGAACCGTAGACACAAAAATTAAAAATATCGTTCAATGTAGTCGTTTAAAAACTCGTAAAGTATTATATCAATTGATGATTTGCAAACATGGTGTAATCAATATTTTAGTTGTTCGTCTGGAGATAAACTGTATGATGTATTTGTACCGTATTGTGAAGCTATTGATATTAATCATATTTTTATTTGTATGACTACACGTCAATTATTATCTACGTGTAAATATTCATCTACAATAGTTATTGGTTGTACATATAAAATAACATGAAATGGATTACCTTTACTCGTTTTTGGAACATCAGGTTTTGATCCTCATTTCCATCCATTAGGATTACGTTTAATATCAACGGATGAAACAGCAGATACATTTAAAACATTTCGTGTAGTAAATGTCATTCAACAACCATATGATAATACTCATGTTACGGCTGATGGTGCTGCTGGTATTACTAGTGCCATGTGTGAATTACTACAATTCGTAAGAGTCGTGAATATAGAAAACTGGTATCAGGTTTT